GAGCGGCAGGTCCGGCGCTAGCTTGGCGTGAGGAGGAGGCTGGGGCCGCGCTGCCGCTGCTGCGCTCCGCCCCCGGGGGCAGGTGCGGGCGACAGGGACCCGCCCCGAGGCGCTGAGCCCGGTCACCGGGATCGATGCACCCAGGCGGGTGGAGAGGGAGGGCCCCGCACGGGCCAGGCGCGCGGAAGCTGAGGGACTGTTAGGGGGCGTGGGGACCAGCCTGCGGCTAGCGCAGGACTGGGCGAGGGCGTGACGGAGGACGCGCCCCCCACTCGCGTCTCGGATTGGTGCCCAGGAGGAACCCTTCCACCCTAATTGCTCTGCAGTCGTCCGAGCCTGTGGCCGCGCGTGGGCAGGAGAGAGAGCGTCGCAGCTTGTCCCTCTTCCTCTCGCGGATCCATGCAGGTTACAGGGTTTGCACCTGGTCCCCTCCTGCCCAGGCCGGTATCGGAATTCACCTGTCCCCAAGTCCTTGTATCTCCTGTATTTGAATGGCTTTAACTCTCCTCCTATTTCTCTCCGCCAACTAGATGGAGGAATTGCTGTAACAGTGGTTTCCCCCATTGCGACTATCCCTGGGCCTTTTCTAGTCATCTGTCTCATTTCCCTCTCTGAAGACCCAAGATCAGTCCTCCTTGAAGACTCCTCTTCCTGCGGTCCTTCATCCATGTTCTCCACATCTCTGACCCTGACAACTTCATACCCTTGCGCGGTGGAGCCGGTTTCCCCAACGAAGCTGCAACCTGGTCCACAGGGCCGGCCCTGGAAGACTCACAAGAGAACCGGCTCTATAGAGTTTAAATTTTATCAATAGGTGGTATCAGTCCCTAAATTTAATCTGAGTGATCTAACATGCCGATGCCTTTATTTAAAGGAATCCACCCTAGTTTCTTTTCAGAGTAACCGGTTTCCTTTCTAGTTTCTGCTCTGCCGGTGATCATGGAAATCAGCCTAGAATTTAGACGTCTCTGCGGGGTTCCGGAGATGAAAAGGGGGTTTATATTTTGTTGGGATCAGATCTGAGTGATTGGGTGTTTTTTTTTAACAATATTTTCAACTATAAACTGAAAGCATCAAACTAGGTCATTTTAACAGCCCCTTCTTTTCCCAAAAGAAAAAGAATCATGCCATGCTTGTTGGGCTACACACACACACACACACACACACACACACACACACACACACACGCTTACAATTTCTACCCTCTGGTCCTGATGTTGCCCAGATAACAATGCTTCAAATGTACTGAGTCCCCAGTCCTCTTACATCCTGGATTGTGGTGCGGGAATTGTTCCAGGTTATTCTTTGGATGTCCTGTCAAGGTTTTTCAGAGAATCACCTGGCTACCAAGAACAGCGAAAACGTAGGCCTTGAGCACAGCTGGACTGAGATGGCTGAAACCTTAGCGAGAGTGTTTTTAAACTCCATCCCCTCCTTATTCTGCTTTTTGAAAATCTTTCTCTCTCTCTCTCTCTCTCTCTCTCTCTCTCTCTCTCTCTCTCTCTCT